GATTGGGATGGGTGATCTCCAAAATGGATTGTATTACTTCACTTTCCATTCCATCGCCAACCACTCACAAACCGCTTGTCATTCCACTTCTGTCATCAGTTCCACACTTTGGCATATACGCTTAGGCCACGCCTCACAAGGCCGTCTTGCTCTCATTCCTAGAGTCAAGCTCACCTACCATTTCCAATCAGCAATACTCGTAGTAACTCACCTTTCTCCTTGATACATTGTGACATATGGGTCGGTTATAAGACCCCCTCTCATTCAGGGGCAAGATACTTCTTGACTATAGTAGATGACCACACGAGATGTATGTGGGTCTACCACTTAAGAAATAAATCTGAGGCTGGTCATTTTCTTATATCTTTTTGTGCTATGGTAAACAGACAATTCAATACCAATGTAAAGCAAATCCGTTCTAATAATGGTTTGAAGTTTCTCTCTGGGCCTATTCAACAATATTTTTTACAAGGTATTTTACATCAGACCTCGTGTAGATTCACCCCAACAAAATGGAGTGGTAGAACGGAAACACCACCATTTACTAGAAGTGGCTCGGGCCTTGAGATTTCAAGCTTCCCTCCCTCTTCACTTTTGGGGGGAATTCATACTTACAACCACGTATATAATAAACTTACTACCCACTCCCTCACTTTCCAACATTTCCCCTTATGAAGCCCTCTTCCACCAACCACCCTCCTACCATCACTTAAGAGCCTTTCGATGCCTATGTTACACTCAAATTCATCCTCATCCTCATGACAAATTTGCACCTCGGGCTACACCTTGCATTTTTGTGGGTTATCCACACGACCAAAAAGGGTATCGGGTATACTCTCGACACACAAAATATTTACAAGTTGTGATATCATCTTTTATGAGGACCGCTTCCCCTTCCAGCATGGCCTCTCCACCGTCTTTCCACATCACCAATCTGTTCTTCCTTTATCTACTTCTAATGACTGTGACTATCCTAGCCCACTCCAACCATCCACTTAGCACATTAATCCACCCACTAATACTAGTGCGCCCACAATCACCAATCCTAACACCATAACTGAGCCCTCTTAAGGTCACCTCACCATTGTTGTTGACACACCTGAACCCATTAGTCAGCCCAACACTTTGTTTCTCACTAGTTCTTGGCCAAAAAGACATACCACTATTCCCACACACCTTCAAGACTACATTTGCCAACTTCCCCCTTCCATCTCCTGGTCAAACCAGGCCTCCATTGAAGTTGAGCCAAAACACAGTACTTGAACGCAATAATACTTGGATCGTCACCCCTCTACCTCCTAGCAAACGACCCATAGGAGCTAAATGGGTTTAGCACATCCAATATAAGGCTGATGGAACCATAGAGTGATTTAAAGCGCGACTTGTTGCAAAAGGCTACACCCAGGTTGAAGTCCTCGATTACCAGGATACTTTCACCCCTATGGCCAAACTTTCCACTGTTTGTTGCTTGTTGTAGCTGCCATTAAGGGCTAGGATCTACATCAGTTGGACGTGAATAATGCCTTTCTTCACGGTGATCTCCATGAAGAAGTATACATGAGTATTTCCCAAGGTTTTGAATCAGCAAATCCCACTCATGTTTGCAAACTACGGAAGTCACTCTATGGCCTCAAACAGGCCTCCTACATGTGGTTATAGAAGTTTACTCAAGCACTCCTTTCTCTAGGGTATTGTCAATCGCCTCTGGATTATTCCCTATTCACATACACTTATGGGAATTCTTTTGTTGTTGTACTTGTATATGTTGATGATGTCATCCTCACAGGAAGTGACAATATGCGCATTCTCTCTCTCAAGAAACACCTTGATGATTATTTTGGCATGAAGGATTTGGGTTCACTCATTTTTTCTTGGATTAGAGGTATCTTGATCAACTTCTAGGATTTTCCTAAATCAGCACAAGTATGCGTTTGATATTCTTCAAGACACCGGTATGACTGAATGCAAACCTTGCTCTACATCTATGGAGCAACAAAATCATTTTGTTGATAGTTCCAGTGCTCTGTGCTTTGATCCAGCTCAATATCGAAGACTTGTTGGACGACTTGTGTACCTAACAACCACTTATCCAGACCTTAGCTTTGCTGTCAATTGCTTGAGTCAATTTATGCATGCTCCCAAGCAAGAGCATTACAATGCTGCCCTTCAAGTGGTGCGTTATATCAAAGGCACAATATCCCATGGCATCTTCTTCTCTATTTCTAGTTCACCGCAGCTCCATGACTTCTGCGACTCTGATTGGGCGAGTTGCCCAATCACTCGCCACTCCACCACGGGTTACTTAACATTACTAGGTGACTCCCCCTTTACTTGGAAAACTAAGAAACAACATACAGTCTCCCGTTCGTCTGCTGAAGCTGAATATCGAGCCATGGCCGTCACAACATCTGAACTCATCTGGCTAAAACGTCTCCTTGCTGAATTGACAGTTACTTTGTCTGAAGCCCCAACACTCCACTGTGACAGCAAGGCAGCCTTGCACATAGCAGCCAACCCGGTGTTCCACGAGCGAACAAAACACATTGAAATTGATTGTCACTTTGTTCGTGACCACATACAATGAGGTGCTGTCATGACTGCTCATATCTCCAGTGCCTCTCAACCAGCAGACCTCTTCACTAAGGCTGTCTCCACAGATCGCCTTTTATACCACTTACCCAAGTTGGGCATCCAAGATGCTCCAACTTGAGGGGGGGAGGGGGTGTTAGAGAATTTATGAACATTTGAGAGAGTTCATTGACAGCTGGAATCGGTTACTTCAACAGCTGGAATTAGTTACAAGAATTTCTTCCACGTGCTCTGAGTTTTGTTATATATATATAATTAATCAATGAAACACATTATTATCTTCTTGGTCATCGGATACCAATTTACATAATTCGTTCTTCCATTTGAAGTTTCTTTTTCAGCTTATCCAGAATAAATCCCCAGTTCGTAAACTCCCTTCCTGCTTCCGAAATCATTTTTCTTTCCCACCCCTCTCCATTTCCTTCCACCGTCAACCTCTGCACTTTATTAACACAACTTGTACTTATTTCTTGTTCAAACTCTTTATTTTTATTGCTTTGGTAGACTTCTCCTCTGGATGAACTATCGTCCTTCAACATCAGATATTCTTGCAACATCTGAATGACCAACCTCCAGCCTGTCCCCTGTTTTCCTTCTGGAAAACAAACAATTTGTCTTCTATACTTCCAAAAAACTCTGTAACAGCCACAAACCAGCCCTTGTGGTTGTATTTCAATGCCGCATGGTACCTTCTTCTTGCAGCTTCCAGCAAGCCCATCCAGCCGTTTTTCTTCACTAAGAAGAGTGCTCCATCGATGAACCCCTTCAACCACTGTGAAGCTTCTCCGGTTAGAAAAGTAGTTGCCCTTCCTTTTTCTCTTAATTTCAGAACTGAAAGGTTTTTGCACTTTCCTTCTTCAAAAACCAACTTCTTTGTTTCAATCAAGGTCTCGACCCTCCAACTTCTCGTTGGAGTTCCCATTTGCAGTTCTTCGTAGTACCCTATGGCTGTTCAGCTAATGTCCTTGCAAGGCACATTCCCCCTCATACAGAACTTTCTCACAACAAATCTGCTTAACATTATTATAAAAGACATAAAGGCTTTGACCTTCTGTTTTTTATCTTTTCCCCCCTTTGATCAGTTTTGCATGGACTCTCCTAAATGCAAGCATGAAGCAAGGAAAAAAAATGACAAAACTCCTTGGTTTGGCTTAATGTTGATGTTTTGGATCTAGTCTTTCTCTACCTTTCCAAGGACTTTATCAACCAGATCTAAGAGATCCCTGTTAAAACACAATTAGAAGACACTAATATGAAGTACAATCATCCAGTCTATCCAGTACAGGAGAAACACACCAAAGAGCCTCTCAAATTGAGAAGCCAAGTGAAAATAAATATTAGAAAAAGCTTTTTCTTCTTATCAATTAAATTTTATGTTAATGATCCAAATGAACTTGTTGTTATTGTCTCCCCTGTTTAGTGTTAAATCTTTTGATTTGTCTAAGAACTACTACCATATGAACCTTCACTATGATGTGGGCGCCGGCAGCAGCAGCAGTAATTTAGTGTTCTCAGCAGCAGCAATTTAGTGTTCTCATCCTATCTTATCTATTCAGTATTCTTACCTTATCTGCTTTCAGTAGCAGGGATTAGTAGGAGTCTTATCTATTCAGTGTTCTTATCTTATCAGTTCAGTAGTATGGATTAGTAGGGAGTCTTATCTTATCTTATAAGTTCAGTAGGATAGATTAAGGGAGTCTTATCTTATCTTATCTTATCAGTTCAGTAGAATAGATTAGTAGGGAGTCTTCCTAATTAGCAAGGAGTCTTCCTAAAAGTAGGACTCTTATCTCTTGTTATCTCCTATTTAAGGAGCTGAGAATATTGAATAAAACCATCGAAAATTTCAATAAAAGTGAGGAGAGTTGGTGATCTCTTGAACAAATCACCATTAAGGCGCCAAAGTAGGTTCCTCAAGAAAAGGGAGGAACAAGGGAAAACAGGAGGTTTTCCCCGTGGACCGACCTGTGACGAGATCCTATTCTCGGGCCCATAACACACTATGCATCTATAGCATCAAGCAAGGGGTCAAATTTTTGGTTGACCTTCCTTGTTTCTATTTGGTTATTTACTTCTCATATGTTAATTGAGATCATTCAAAGAAGATAAAGGAAGAGAAATTAGTTTAACGTCAACTGGATCTGTTAGCAGCATTTTTTCTTTTTGATAGGCAGGAAGTTAAAACCATGTTAAAGATCAAGACCTGTTGATATCAAACAACTTTTAGCTCTTATTCTCTTGTGTATTATAGTTAAAGTTGTTCTTATTATCATATGTTTTCTTGTCATTACCCCGGTTGTTAAGTTCTTTGACATTTCAATTTTTTTTTCTGGTGATTGTATTTTCCTGACAATTCCTTCTATTCTTCTCATATACACATTCTTGACACAACTTTGTAAACTTTTCTGCAGATTAAGAAGCACCATACACCTTTATTAAAGGTTTGATATTCTTCTTATTCCAACTTTAGTGAGATATTATCTCTTCTAACTTCTAACAGAAGTTCTGTGTGAGCTCCTAGGCTCTTGGATTTGCTGATATACTTTCTGTGCTTAAGATATTGCATTTCCATCCCCATAATATTATTTTGGATAAATGTACCTACATCTAAAATATCTTGTATTTTGTTCCCTCCCCTATAAAATCCTCCACATATTTTGTGTTGTGCTCTTATCTTCACATTTGACATTAAAATTATTTTCACTTATCAACAGAAATCCTATGAAACGTGTCATCTTATAATTGATTACAATTCATAATTTTTTTGAGGATAGACAATACTATGTTTGGAAGTACTACTTAAAGCTCCTGGCAGAAGATTCATGTAAAGGTATTGGAATAAGTCTTTAGTGCCAGGCAGTAGTAGAGTTGGAACAACTGGTAATGGTAAGATGAAATGGCTTGTAATAGGACAAATGCGTGTTGCAATGGATAGTAAAGCAATGTATTAGAACTTTTGAGTTGGGAGAACACTAGGTTCTACAAACTTCACTGCTTAAGTGAATCAGAAATAGAGGTTTCTACAACTTGCAATTCTATCATCTCATTCCTCATTAAATTGCTCCACTGATTGCAGCATTAGAAGTGATCAAAGCAGAACTCGATTCAAGTCCTGATTCTCAGGTTTCTACAGACTTTAATCCCTTTTACGTTCATCTCCAAAGATTTTTATATTCCAGAATTCTTGTCCAATTCTTCACCTGCAAAAGGTTCAAACTTCAAGGAGACAGGAACCTCATATAATTAATTTCTTGTTGCCTTGTTGGTGATTTCCCACATGCTTCCCAGTGATCATGAAAAATAGTTATCAAATTAGAAACAGAAAAATCAATGCTTCATTGATAAGAGCTTGATATGTATTGACCAGAACCTTTACTTTCGAGAAACTTGCTATGCTGTTGACTTTAATGCCCATTCTTTTTAGCCATTTGAGCGAAACCATTTTTGCTTTCACAGTACTTTGTGTGTGTGTGTGTGTATATGTCATCAATTACAAATTAAACCTGATTTAATTTACTAAGTTAATTAAGAAACCCAAATCAACTTTATAAACATAAGCAGTGAATCATAAGCAAAATAATAAATGGTTTGGTGGTTTGGGACCTATTCTTTTACATAAAGTGGGTTATTAATTACAAGTAAAACCTGTTTTAATCTCTTAAATCAAATAAAAAATCCTTTACCAAAAAAATATAACCTAAATTTACCAAAACAAATCTAATGAAATAGGTCAGTTTAGTTGCCTTGTACTAAGTAAGGGGGGGTGATAATCTGCCAAATATATTACAGCAAAGCCTGCCATCATAAGAGGGCTTCTTCAAACATGTGGCTCCCATTCTGGAAATGAGATAAATAAATTTTGATCCAGATTAAAATTTATCTCAATTTTGGTCTAGATTAAAAAGTTACCTCATATCCTTGGAAAAATCTATGTTGCATTTTCTGCACCAGGAAGCAAAAAGCATGAGCCAATGATAAAATGAGACATCATAGGTGATATCTTTAACAAGTACATGAACCAATGAAAAGTAAATAGATTATGTGATGTCTTTAATGTGATTGGTTAGTTTATAGATTTATTGTGCAAATTTTTGACCATATGGTTGATGTTGCGGAAAAACAAGCCCTTAACTTGAACAACGGAGAAAACAAATGGAAATTGCAAAATAGAGCAACTCAAGAATGCACAAAGAGATTTATGTGGTTCAGCTTATAACTTACGTCCATGTGCGTCAAAAGAAAAAGAAATACACTATCCACTGTAGAAACAATAGAGATCATAGTCACAGTGTATATAATCTCCCCCACCAAACCTTAGCTCTCAATACACCCAAAACACCTCTCAGTCTGTCTCGCACACACCCGTGCTGAAGATACAAGATGGCTTCCTGTGTAAATAGCCCATCAAAGTTCATATTCAGGTTGGATCCAACTAAGAAAACAGGTTGGGTTCATGCCCCTACACTACCACAAATCACTATAAAATTTTGCCCTCGGATTTTTCTTAACTTGATTGCCATGGAGCAGGTTGCAACTGGAATTCGAGGCACCAACACAACAGTTGAATTCCATATCTTTTGGTAACAAAACAAATCTAATTTAGTTTCCTGACTCAAATAAAAACCCTAGCTGGTGTGGATCACATTCTTAGATGGAGTGGGTTGCTAATTACTTACATATCAAACCTAGATCTCCTAAATCAAATAAAAAAACCCAGCCTAAATTTACTGTGGATAGTGAGTCCCAAACAAAACATGTAGGTATAGTTGCACTATATACTCAACAAGGGGTGGTCGTTAACTGGTTTAATTGTTAATTCAAGAGTGTCAGGTGTTATACCATAAAGTAATCACAATTGAAATTTTGAATTTGGTTTTCTTTTTTCTCCCCTTATTCTCATAAACTTTATATTGATCTATTTATCATGTTGTTAGTTGAAGTTTCTTGAAATTATAGAAAGAATTGGTTTGTTGTGACTGTATGCTTGTAGTTTTTTTATTATTTACATTGGTCAGACTGTATGCTCGTATTTTTATTTAAACAATGGCTTGGTTGTGAGCTTAATTCAGTTGTTTCATAGAACTGCTGTATTGGCCTGAGAAAGTAAAGTATTTAATTTTGCGAACAATGAAATGTGAGATATACTGAGAAGGCAATGTGTGAGTTTTTAAAAGCATTTTTTTTTATCAATTGAGTTTTTCAAGGCATTCTGAATGCTGTGGTGCATCCTCATTTGGTTTCTCTAGACACCTGAAAACAGATTCAAATGGGACAAATTATAGTTAATGTATCTTAGGTAAAGTGAATAGTTAAATCGCTAGATTATTGGTTGCCAGTGTGCTGTCGGTCCCACTTAAGCGGATAGAGGCAAAGAATTTATAACCTGAGTTTCTGACCGTGCTTCTCAGAACTCTGTTGTTTCCCTATTCTGGTTGTAGATTTGAAGCAATCTCCTTTTGTTATCTTCAAATAATTCAGGAACAGGAACATGAGAGATGGGGTAGGCGGGCTTCTCTTGCTTGGGGATCTCTAGGGCCCGAGGTGCAGCCAAGTGGCTGAAATAGTGCTCATTGTCCTTTGTGATGCGATGTCAGCCCTAGCTGTCTTTTTCTCTCTATCTTGAAGCACATTTTAATAACTGGTGTCTGTCTAATTTATGTTATCAATAAAATTGTTTGATCCTTTGTTTTTGATATTTGATAGTAAGTAATTAAATTCCGGAATATGGGCCGGCAAGCATGCGGGGTCTGTGCATGCTTTCGTGTTCCACATCCTTGAACTGAGTAAAACCTGTCAGACTAACCTTGACAGTCTAAGGTGTTGATGCTTGAGAGAACTCCCGACTTATGTCGAAGGTGGAAAGTTTAGATGGATGGTCTTAGTTGCTTGATGCATGTCTGTTTCATTGTGAGAATAATCTCAGTCGGAGCTCAGAGATTTGCCCCCAAAATTGTTCCGAATTGTTTTACTGAAAATCTTTTCTGCTCTCTATCAATGTTAATCTATGGCCTTAATTTTTATTGGCAACACTAACACCGACAATCTTTATCTAATTTTACTGGCAGCCTAAGGCATATGCGGACAACTTCAAGTGGAAAGGTCCACCCAAGACTTCGGAAAACTGAAAGTTGAGCGATTAGCAGAAGCAATTTGACGAGGTTTGATATGCCTTTATTATCTGTTAATGTATTGCTCAATGAAGTAGCGAATGCAACTCCTGAGAAACCCTCTCAAGTCGACTTTTTAATAAGTGTAAAACAAGCTTATGAAGCATAATTTTCATTCTTTTACAATAAGATACATTTGTATTATATATACTATATATTTCTCCATACATGTTATATACAAGGAAAGCCTCTCTTAAGCGTTCGAACTACCTTCTGAAGTCTCACTGGTATGGAACCTCCATGTGAATAGGTAGTTCTTGGAGTTACAAGATAATCTGATTACATCGCAGGGGGCAGTTATGGAGCTCTTCTTTCCATTAGTTCCCCACTCTATCCTTACTCTGCAAGAAAACCCATTCGAATAAATCGGGACATTTGAACCTGGAATATCCAACATCACCTCCCCGCCGATCCTCTTGCATGGTCTGCCCCTGGAGGCTCCATCGTATGTTGCATCAAGCCACGGGCACTCCGGTTGCCCAACCATCTCCTTGTACGCAGAGTTTGCTAGTCTGACCCTGTTGTTTGAGTCCGACACTATAGCTGGTAAAGCTTCGGATTCCACCTCTTCCTCCACCTCCTCGGGTCTTTTGGTGGTGCGCATGGCACAACTTGGGCTGGGATACTCGCTGATGAAACCCACGCTGATGCTCGACCCGATGGGCCTAACGGGCTGCGGTGTTATAACGCTCGGGCAGTTGGGTGGTTCCTGCAGCTTCTGCAAAGGATCTTCGGGTGGTGGTTCGTGCAGCAGATTCCTTTCCTCTGGAATGTCGATGCTGGTGTTCAAGTCCAGAATCTTTTCTTCAGTCTGAGAAGAGCAAAGGTTGATGCCATCCATTTCGGGTGTTGATTTGGCTGCAACAGGTACTGAACAGGGACGTGAGAGAAAAGTAAGGGTGGCTAGATGAGAAGCCTTTGCGGTTGCCTCCTCCAAACTGGCACCGATGCCAATGCTTGGAGTCGAAGTCGGAAAGCTGAGAAACCCATGGGCAAGGCTCTGCAAGGATAAACCAAGTAGGGCGTTTTTGGCTAGAGATAGGGTATGGCAAGGAGAAGAGAAGCCTCGAAGATGCATCCCTGCTCTCTTGAGGGTTGCTGGTGAGATTCCGGTTCGGTTCCTCTTCCTGGCTCTGCTAGGCCTGGTTGGTAGGCGGGGAGAGAGGTTTTTGAGGGTTGTCGGGCCATCCAGTAAGGGATGTATGGGAATGTGAGGCTTGGGAGCAATGGGTCTGTACCTTGACATGATTTCATCAGTTTTGGAAGAAGAGGAGTAAATGTTGAGGGAGTTCATCAACATGGTTTCCTTCATACTGCCTTCCTGATGATGCCTGAGTAGGCCCACCAAGTTGTGGGTCATGAGGTCAGAGGGGGGTGGAAAAATTGAAAGCGAGAAATACAGCAGAGTGGGAGAGAAGGAGGAGGGTTGTTATGGGACGAGGGGAGGTGGAGGTTGTTGGCCCTTTAAGCCATGGAGGTGAGGGCAACCTGAAAGGATGAGGAAGGAAGGAGACGGTGGCACGCGGACCTCTGTGGTGGGTACGTGTTAGGGAGTGTGGGAGAGGATGACACGTCGGGAGGTGCTACTGCTGATACAATGAAGGAAGAGAAGCAACTCAACTGTGCTGGGAATGGGATAGGACCACGACCACCGTCTTTGAAAACTCCAAACAAACTCCAGTAGTCTCCCGCCTTCAAATCTCCAATCTACATGCATGAAATGAAATAATGGGGGGTTTTGAACTTTGAACTTTGAAGTGAAGTGGCAATGGCATTTTATTTGTCGTGTAATTGGTTGTAATTGTTACACGAATTGGTGCCAACACCAACCGCCTATAAAGTTACGCGTGTGGGTCGAGCAGCAATGCTTATGTTTGGGTTTTACACATACTGGCGAATGGCCATGGGGCATGGGCTTTAGTAGAGTACTGTGACTTTTGTTTGGGCATGTGGGATGTTTGAAGTCATCACTCTCCCTGATTTTGATTTCTTGTCCTTTTCTCACTTTTTCACTTTTGATAACCAGTTCATTCAACTTGGCTTGATGTCATTGGACCTCAACCCTCTTTTGGACACATCAGTGCCAACAGCTGTTAAATCCTTCCTCATGGTGTGATTCCATTGATTGTGGAAGTAATGAATGGTCAGGTCTAAGTGTTGGTAGGCCGGGTTTCTATCTTAAATCAAATGTACCCAATCAGAGAAAGGTCGACACAGATTTGACCAGGGCCTAGAGAGAGAGAGAGAGAGAGATGGGGTAGGGGAGAAAATGACAAACTTTAACTTATTAAAATGACTCTTATAAGCTGATTGCTGTTTTGGGGGCTTGGATATGATTGGTTTTATAGATGGATTTAATTCCAATCTATGAATATAAGATGCCCACGGAGGCATGATATTGGTTTCGCATGTCGACCCGAAGGAAACGGTTGGACTTAATCAAATGGTATCCAACGCTTGGGGCTCCAAAAGAAGCTGAACCAAGCTGCACGGAGCTTTGCCTCCCCAACTCACTTTAATTCAAGCCCTAATAATATTGTTAATTTGAAAAAGCACAATGTTTGTAAACAGACACGAAATTAGTTGAGACAATCAGCTTATGTTGGCCCCCAAATGCCATCGTTGACGATAGAGCTTACAAAGCGTGTCACATACACAATTAGCTTGCATTACAAAGTCTGTCAGAAAATGCACCAAAGAAGACTCCATCCTGCGCCATTGCTTATAATAAAGTGGTTGATGTGTTACTCAACCAGATGCGCCATTGCTTATAATCGTATGGTTTTGTGATACCCAGCTCTTTCCTTAATAGAGAAGAGCCTTTTCTATAGAAATAGGTCATCGCTCAAGAGAGAAAATAACTAAACAACTCAAATAGAAATTCCTTGATGATCTTTATTTGGGCTCTTGGGCTTATTTATAAGGATTTAGACCGTTACAACAATTGATAACTTGGCAGAGTCAAGCATGCTAAGGATTGCAGAATAACTACCATGATTCTTACGACGGTCTTCGTAAAATTCTAACAGAATCAATCATCGTGTGGTAGTGGCCTTTTTCAGGGAATTGCCACGTGCCCTTCTTCACCATCCAGCTATATCATTTCACCCCCTTAAAAGTTAAAACATGCCTTGTCCTCAAGGCTTGCTCCTTGGAATTTCTTCTGCAGACGATTCCAATTTTTTCAAGTGGCGTCTTCTATTCTTATTCCTTCCCATAAGATCTGAACTTCTGTAGTTGCCTTGTTGCCTCTCTTAACCAAGCACCTATCTAGGATGGCGATAGGGTGGCTGTAGTGTTCCATCAGCCAACAGAGGTGGCAGGTCTTGTTGAGTGACAGAGTGATCGCCTACTCTGGCCTTGAGCCAGGACACATGAAATACAGGATGAATCCTACTTCCTTCTAGAAGGTCAAGGTGATAAGCAATAACTCCTATTTTCTCGAGAATTTTGAAAGGACTGTAGTAGTGAGCAGATAACTTTTGAGACTTGCGGGCAGCAATGTAACTCTGTCTGTATGATTGAAGCCGCAGGAATACCCAGTCTCCAACTTGGAAAACTCTTTTAGTCCTTCCCTTGTTTACCATTCTTTTCATTCTGTTTTAGGCTGCTTGGAGGTTCTCTCTGAGTTTTGATAATACAACTTCTCTCTCCCTTAGCTCTTGGTCCACAGACTACACCTGAGTCGTTCCCGGAATATATGATATCAGAGTAGGTGGAGGATATCCATACAAAGCTTGGAAGGGAGTGGTTTTTGAAGTCGAATGGAAGGTGGTTTTGTACCACCATTCTGCCAGGGAAAGCCATTTGATCCAGGAATGGGGTTGGGTACTGGTAAAACAACGAAGATAGGTCTCCGAGGTCCTATTGATCACCTCTGTTTGCCCATCCATTTGTGGATGGTACGAGGAACTCATGTTGAGACGGGTCCCTTGAATTTTGAACAATTCCTTCCAGAAATTGTTGGTGAAAGTTGGATCACCATCACTGACTATAGACAAGGATCACTGTCTTTTTGTTGGAAGGTGGCAAACCTTCTATGAAGTCAAGAGAATAATCAATCCACGCTTGTGCTGAAATGTTCAATGGTTGCAACAGCCCCGGGGTGGGTACATTCTATGTTTTGTTCCTCTGGCACACTTCACACTCCTTGACCCAATTTTTTACTTCTTTTCTATACCCCTTCCACCAGCATATCCTCTTCAATCTCTGCATAGTATTATGAAATCCTGAATGCCCACCAGATGGAGTTTCATGGGCTTCCTCAAACAGTCTTCTCCTAAAAGCGGAAGTGGGACTCAACACTATTTTGCCCTTCTTCCAAAGCATTCCATTTCTCCACTCATACTTAGTCTTTGAAGTTCCATTTATGAGCTCTTGTATGATGCTATGTAATTGGGAGTCTTTGGAAACTTCTTTTTTTAGCTCTTCTACCCAGCTTGGCACTTCTGTTGAAATTGCCAACATCTCACCTCCACTCTTACAAGAGAGAGCATCAGCCACAATGTTCTCTCTTCCTCATCTGTACTTGATCTCATAATCATACCCAATTAATTTGCTCAAGAGTCTCTGCTGGGTTGGTGTTGTAAGCTTTTGCTATAGGATATAACCCAAGCTTCTGTGGTCTGTGAGAATATGGAATTTGTTGTCAATGAGATAAGATCTCCATTTCTGAATTATTGTGATTACAAACAATTATTCTTTGCCATAAGTGGAGAGATTTAGAGCCTGTCCCTTAAGCGCCTTGCTAAAGTAAGCCAGAGGTCTCCCATTTTGGGAGAGAACTGCCCCCAACCCTCGTCCACTAGCATCGCATTCTAGAGTGAAAGATTGGCTGAAGTCTAGGGTGCCCAATACTGGAGCTGTGGTCATGGCTATTTTCAACTCTTGAAAGGGATCTTGCTTTGAATTAACCAGTGCATAGGCACGAGGTTGAGAGTGCTAGATCGTTTTGCACGAACATCCAAGGGTTTAAGCTCGAAGAAGACATTGATGTGCGGATGGAAACCAGAGGAAAACTATGGACGTGGAGGGAGAAGAAAAGTACCGATTAAAGACGCGGCAAAACGAGAGGGAGCGGACAGGACAAACCCAAGACCACCCACCCTTGTGAATTTTGAACACGCCATTGTTTTAATCAAACACCAGTTTGATTTGATATTTTTCTCTTTTTCGTCAAACACTCGCGTATTCAAAATTCACTCAATCTCGGTCTCGGACCAAAGACGAATGAGTGCAGAGTGCAGAGTGCAGAGTGAGACTCAATATGAGACTGCAGACTGCAAAACCTCAAACCAAAGACATAGGTGTGGAAGGAGTTAAACAACACATGACACAAGTTTGGTGGCTTATGGGGCACATGACGCTGGTTGGCTTCAGCCTTCAGGGAGCCCGGTTCAGCTGCTCGCACAGAGGAACACAAGTGTGTTTAACTCGTAATTGGTTATGCATGTAGCTGTTACATACATCGCTACGAGCAGGAGACCCCAACTAGGTTTCAATGGCAACAAAAATGGATTATAGTTGATAATACGTCTTAATATCAATAAAAATAATCTTTTTAACATAATTTTTAAATTAGTATAATTTTTAAAAAAATATCAAAGAAGAGTATAAACACTGTTCATCTCCTTCCTCATTCAGCCTCCCTATATTCTCTCTCAGATAAATTAATCGGACACTCTTTACTGTTCTCCTCCAGTCTCTCTCCTCTCTCTCTCTCTCTACTTCAATTATGATGGTCGTTGTTGCAGAAAACCCAACAACAGCAGAGTAGATTAGATTCAGGAGACCCAAGAACCAACCCATTACAGCTCCAAATCCAACCCCACAAATCTCTTCTACCAATCAGTCCCCTCGCAGTAAAACCTCCATTTCTTCTCTATTCCTATCCACATTCACCTCCAACAATAGCAACAACAAGAAGGGTTCTAACATGTCTTTGGCATTGAAGGATAAAAATAAGAGCTTTACATTTACGACATTCAGAGGTCTTGGATGCACATCTACTTCACAGGTATTGACAACAGAGGCTATTCGGTCTTCGGCAAATTGGCAAGCGAAGAAGGTGAGGAAAAAGAAGCAGAGGAACACACAGAGGAAGAAAAGCCATCACGTCACAGAGACAACATCTATGGGGTGCATGTTGAAACATGTTGGGATGGATATAGGTTTTTCTTTTTGTGGGGGTGGGGGAAGGGATCCGGCCTCTGCCTAGAAAGGTAGAAAGGTCAATCTTCTATCTATACCCACCCACATGACGCTATATATATGAGTAGCTTGTGGATAGCGTAATTGGTGTTCTTGTGGGTAGTAGATTGGATTCATAACAGCCACCATGGCTGGCAGAGTGAGAAATATTTCAATAGAATGTTTGAGGTGTTTGGTGCATCTTTTTTGCGTATCTTTTGGTCTTGGGAAACTCAAAAGACCAAAAAATGATACTTTCCCATTTGGTATCAGATAGACTGAAAGACCCAAATATGAACATGTGAAATGACCGAAAAATCACAAAATTGGAAAGTTTCAAAAGAAGTTTTTGGTCTTTATACGCTGAAAATAGCTTTCTCACCTATTTTTTAACAGCCCGATAGACCATGAGGCAAACAAAATAGTCTTGGTCTTTAAAGAAAATAGCCCAAAAGTTCAACGTGTCTTATCGTCTTGTTGAAAGCTACCTAGAAAGACTTGACAAACAGCCCCTATATCAAAGGATTAGGACCAATTGTCTTTTTACATATGATCTGGAGATATTCTTTTTTTAATTAAATAATTTAAAAATTCATGTCTTCGGTGTGTTGTCTCCTATATTAGTTTTTCTTATCATATTCAACTCTTTGTATTTTAAAAAAAATCATTGTATTTTCATATGATAACAAAGAACTCCACCATCTATGCATAAACAATGAATTGATGACCCAGTTATGGTGGAGATAAAGCCATAATGAAAAGATATAGATCCTTAACCAGTCGTGTTGGAAAAGGATCCATCAACTAATCTCATAATATCTCTACTAGAAGGAAGACTATAAGAATTAAACAAGAT